AGGTTGTTTAAATATGCAAATTAGGTGTGGTTGATGTCCTTATTGTTCTTCATTTTGAAGATGCACATCTGCTTTATTATTCTACAAGTGTTGACAATTATGAAGATACCTTTGGCTGGGTCACAAATTGGACCAGGACTAGTCTTCTGCAGTCCATGGAACCAGTTCAGACTGACAGACCAGTTTTTTTGCATAAAATTCATTGTACCAATATAAACCATTTGTTTCTCAACTATTACTCCTCTGAAAAATAAACAGGTTATATAGCATAGTAAAGCATATAAATGCCCATCATTCCACCAAGTTTTAAGAGATTTACTGAAGATGTGACATAGCTATGACTGAAACCAAATTACATCTCCTAAAGACTTGGCCAAAATTTAATGTGGCAACTGTAAATTATGTGGTGCATACCATACATTGATAAATGGTGAGCATATTTTCATACTTGAAATTTTTATATCCAAAAATTGAATCAAGCAAAATTTGAGTGAGTTAGAATTAAACTCATTCTGGTACAAGTTGCACAAACAAGTATTTGTACCAAAATGGATTTGGTTATATCTTTCTCAGTCTCAACCATTTTTGATGAACCAAATACCCAGTTAAAGGTAATAAGTGTGGTTACAATGGGATGTAAACATATGGACATTTGACAGGTTGCAAATGATTGCAACTGGTCTTTGAACAGTTTTAAAAGATGTTTGAAATGAGGCAATCAGCAACTGGAATAACCTCAATTGGGCAACTGCAACTGAAAAAAAAAACCAGACCATCCTCTGGTTTAGTTTAGTCTTACAGTTTTTTTAATATCCTTCAATGCCTGAAAAAGTATGAAATCATTCTGATATACTTACATTGAATCAATTTTTGATCAAAACAGTCACACAAAAATATTCCATTCAACATACTAAACAGCATATCAAGACATCAGTACAAGACAGAATATCACTAAGAAGCATGGAATCATTGTGGTAGAGGAATTAAAAATGAGTTCTTGCTAATTCATCATTGTGGGGTGTTCTTCTTATGAAATGATTGTGCCATTTTAGACATGATTTTTGCAGTTTTCTTTCCAAGAGTGGACAAAGAATATACTAATTATATAAACATGAGAGTTGGTTTAGAAAATAAGTAACATCAGTACACACCTTTTTTGTCAAAATTCATTATTGATGTCTGCTCAGCTTCTTGGGCATTGGCCATGGTGCTATTTGCAAGGTGGAGTGTTGCTCCAATAACTCTGTTTTTGACTTCCTGAGCTTGGATGATGAGCTTCTGTGCCTCTTTGTACTTTCCCAGTCTTCTAAGGGTGGCAGCTAAGTTTTTCTTGGCTAGAATGGTATGGGGGTGTTGTGGTCCAAGAATTCTCTTCCTTGCATCCAGAACTTGGATCTCCAGTTTCTCTGCCTCTGTATATTTTCCCAGGTTACAATATGAAGATGCTAGATTTCCCATAGCAATGATTGTGTCTGGGTGTTCCACTCCAAGAATTCTCTTCCTTGCATCCAGAACATGGATCTCCAGTGTCTCTGCCTCTGTGTATTTTCCCAGGTTACTATATGAACCTGCTAGATTTGCCATGGCACGGATTGTGTCTGGGTGTTCCACTCCAAGAATTCTCTTCCTTGCATCCAGAACTTGGATCTCCAGTGTCTCTGCCTCTGTGTATTTTCCCAGGTTACTATATGAACCTGCTAGATTTGCCATGGCACGGATTGTGTCTGGGTGTTCCACTCCAAGAATTCTCTTCCTTGCATCCAGAACATGGATCTCCAGTGTCTCTGCCTCTGTGTATTTTCCCAGGTAATATATGTCACTGCTAGATTTGCCATGGCAAGATTGTGTCTGGGTGTTCCACTCCAAGAATTCTCTTCCTTGCATCCAGAACATGGATCTCCAGTGTCTCTTTCTCTGTGTATTTTCCCAGGTTACTATATGAACCTGCTAGATTTGCCATGGCATGGATTGTGTCTGGGTGTTCCACTCCAAGAATTCTCTTCCTTGCATCCAGAACTTGGATCTCCAGTGTCTCTGCCTCTGTGTATTTTCCCAGGCCCTCATATGTTAATGCTAGATTTGCCATGGCTAAGATTGTGTCTGGGTGTTCCCCTCCAAGCATTTTGTTTCTTTCATCCAGAACTTTAATCTCCAATGTTTCTGCTTCTTTTGAATATCCTTGACCACTCAACAGCCTTCCAATTTTTGCATAAGCATCATCCATGTAACTGATAATATTCTGATTGCCTTCTGATTTGAAATACTCCATATTTGCTCTCACATGTGTTACCAAGGTCCTCTGGAATGCATATGGCTGGTCTTTATTCCATCTTAGTGAGCAAGACAATGTGACATACACCTTTAAGCAACACTTTTTTCTTTCATTCAAAGCCAATCTGTCCCTGCCCCAGGTATGAACCAGTGGATGCATTGCATATACATTATCAGATAATCACCTCTTGATTAAAGAGAAGGACAGCAATGTTCGAATTCCCTCTCTGAACATGAAATTATCCCAAGTGCCTGTCTCACAAAGCGGAAGTAGTCTTCGATCCAGCAGTGAACTAGCAAGAAGTAAATTTGACATGGGAGCTTTATGATCTTCTGAAAGAGCAGCATAAGAAAATATTTCCTCAGCTATTCCCTCATGATGGAAGAAAGGAAATAATTCTAAAAGTAGCATTGCACTATTGGCTGCATTGGCCTTATGAGAATCATCAGATTTAGCCATTTCTTTAATTTCTTTGTATGATAGCTCCCAAGTTTCATAGACAGTTTTGTTATACTTAGAAGCTCCAGTAAATTCAGAATGAAAGAATAATGTTTTGCGGTGCTCTGAATGCTTTGCTAGATAGTCTCCAATAGTGGTGGCCCCAGAAGCAATATAAGCACCAGCTTGGTCAATAGCAAGAGGAAAGCAGAAGAGATCTGTTACAATCTTAGAGGCTTGGATTTGAACATCTGATGTGGATGAATCCAAGCAACTAGCTTTCAGAAGTAGTTCAATAGCATCCCTCTCTTCCAATTCAGTCACTTCAAGAGAATTCTGAGGTGAAGTCAGAGTCATCATGGCAGAGTTACGACTAGTTATCAGAATGTTTCCCCTCATTCCAGGTGGGAAATACCCCTCCAGTGCAGCAGGTGACAGAACATCAGCATTATCAAATATCAGGATGTAATTCTCTTTCAGAGAGCCAATCCACCAGAGAGCAGACTCAGATGAGCCATCCAACCCACAAGACTGACCAAGACCCTTCAATGCCTGTATAATGGTACCCGAGGAGGATGCATCAACCCAGAAAACATGAGAGAAGCTGGGAACAGTTCAATTTTCAGGTAGGGACAGACTGGTGTTCAACAGGTACTCACCTGCCAGACATTTCCTCAACAAACTTTAAGCAAATTTGAGTCTTTCCAATACCCCCCATTCCATATAACAAGAAAAGCTTTCTCTTCTGAGCTCCGTTGTTTGCATTGGTGAAAAAATGCCGCTTGAGTTTCGCGATGACTTCCGCACGCCCAGTGAACCGAGTGCTTGGGTTTGGCGGAAGGGGAATGACCCCCGTCGTCTTATTGCCGTGGATGTTGATCTGCAACAGATCCAACGCCGTCAACTTGCTTGACGGATACCTGTAGCAAACATTCCACTCACAGTCTTAGATTCAATGAATGTGCCGTTGTTGGCGACAAAGTGGTGAGCGCCCGCAAAGAAGCTCACTCCGCTCATGTTGAGATATCGAAGATGGACGTTCAGGATGAGGGAGGGAAAGAAAGGACAGCGCCCAAACAGTGCACCTCCCCAATCACGCCACGAGGTGAAGGCGTGCCTGTGTCTATTTTTACCAACATGAACGTGCCCGGGCTTTTCCGACGCTTGACTCCAGTCTTCTCCAAGCCCTCGCCTTCGTCTTTCTCATTCCTCGGTAGTTTGCTGTCTTTGGTGAGTGGGCTCGATTATCTAGAGTTGGTTTTGTATGGCACCTGCAGGGCTCACGACGAGAGAATAAAGTCCGTTGTTGGCGCAGAACACGCCTATTGGACTGATGTATAGGCCGTGCTTACAAGTGGACTCTACGAACGTGGGCCTGGCTGACCTTCTTTCTCTAGTACTCATGGCAGATAGAAAATGGCGCGCAATCTACACGTCTTTTTTTTCTCGTCTTAACAATACAATCTCTCAAAGTGAGTGGCCGGATCATCGTCGAGTTCGCCCCTCTCTGAACATCCAATTTGATAGCTGCAAATTCGGATCTGGAGTTGCTGCGCGGTGGGTTAGCGGGTCGGTTCAAGTGCCAATATTGATATTTCACTCGTCAAGTCCTCACAATTGGCCGTGCTTACATCGGTTTGCCTGTTGGGGAGAATTCAAAAGTATCCACAGCTCCCCCTCCATTTGGTCCTTCCCACCGTCCTCCTGATTGATGTCGATCATCGGGAGTGCCTTTCAGACGACACGGACGCACGGCTTCTTCGTTTTGATGAATCATGGCGGGTCGAGGTCCCCGCCATCAACGATAGCGCGGACCAGACTTTCTCCGGCTGAGAGGGACAAAGACAGTGAAAGTCGAGTTGCAGCGGCCGAACATATTCTGGTACCCCATTCGCTTGTCCCTTTTCCCTGTCAATCGACTTCCACAAGATTCGAAGTCTTGCCTGACGTCTCTTAAGATCCTCTCACGATGCTGTCGTCAAAGGAGGTCTCTCGACCGACGTTGGTTGAAAGAGTGGATGATGAACTCCTCACATCAGCAACGACCCGCGGTGAAGTTGAACTCAAACCGTTTACACTGGCTCTGTATAGTCAACACCGCTCTCAAAAATTTGAGGAGGAATGGCGAAGACGAACGAGGGGGAGTTAGGAAAATTCACTGTGACAGGGCAGGTGCATTCCGTGGAGTGAGGTTGTATTTTCGGCTGGAAATAGATTCGAAACGCGAGGTATGCGGTCGGTGTCTGTGGAGTTTGTTGAGCTGGGCGTGATGGAGCAGGCTGGAAGACCGTCATGAGGCCATGATCGAGTATGCAACGCCGGAGTTGGTGGAGAGGTGGTGGAGATGGACGAACAGAGCGAGAGAACGACCAACCATGGAGTCGGCAGCGTGAGGCGTCGGCTCGTTCGGACCTTCTCGTCTGAGTGTTGTTAACTCGCTGTTATACGAACACGAAGCTCTCGGCCACATGATTTCAACCACCACGACCTCGTCGATAACATCGCCGTCTTCTTACTCCTGGCTACTGCTCTCGCGATCTTTGAAGTAAAAGAACGTTTTCTAGAGTCAAGGTGCATCAAGCTCTGACTTCGTATCTTGTCGTTCACCTGACTGACTCAAGTAGCACACATCTAGTGGCACCCCACTAAGCGTTCCGAGCCTTTCTCGCTCCTTACAAGTCAAAGGACCCGCTATTATCCTGCCGACACACTGCTGTCGAGCCGCTGATTCAAGGACCCCAGTACGCTCTCGATCAGCTGCCCAACTGCCCCGCTACTTCGACATGTATCGCCAAACTACCGTGTACATCTTACGACATACCAGAACTGCACAACCGTTGGTGTCTCCTTCCCTGGATCCCTCGTGGTGGTGGTATATCCCGGCAGCTTGATGCGCTCCACATCAACATTGAGTTGAGAGTCGTATGTCGGGGCAGAGGTGAGTGCAACAGTTAATTCTGTCGTTAAATACTACATGTTGACGTTATTGCAGTAATTCCCCAACGTTTCGTTCCCACAAACCGTTCGGTTTCCATTTCCGTCGAAGCATGTAACGATGGACTGCGAGCGGCACATAACCCTTGGGCCAACGCCGCTCAGGCATGTAAACCGCAGGGTATGCACAATACCCTCACGCCACATCAAGCAGTTAATCTTTATATTTGTTCTAGTCCCACCACAACTTTGAAAAAAATACTTGGACGTTACCTATACCTTTCGTGAAATGCAGACACGCATCTCAATTCAAAAGTGAGTGACGTTTATCAATCCTTTTGTCGTAGCCCTGACCTCAAGAAACGAAAGACTATGTAGCACATTCATGAACAAAGTCACCCCGACCGAATCCAAGCTAAGGATTCATGAGTTGTCTGGCAAAACCACTTCCCACCCATCCAGCCCCTTTGCTCCCCTCAAATCGACCTCTTTACAGCCTAGACCTTCTCCGTGACGCTTATGCACCCTCTTCGCCGTGAAGTGGCTTTCTCACCTCCCTTTAGATTCGAAAATCTACCATGTATGACCAGCCTCCCCTAGTGTATTGTCAACACGATTCTGACACCACGATACACAGCTAAACATACGGCATACTCCATCGTCATTTTCTCCTTCCCCCTCACCGCATACCAAGGCATCGCAAACTCGAAGAGTCGACGTTTATCCCCAGATCGAGGATCCGCTGTCGCAAGGGATATGTCGAACGTTCAAAGGACCGGAAGACTAACGCGTGGAGATGATTGTGTTGAATCTGTGTGCGTTGAGCCGGTGTTGGGTGGTCAACGCGGTTTTGGGGGTTTTGCGGAGAGGGAGGTCGCAGGCGCAGGGGAGGATGAGTAGCCGATGTTGACTAGGAGGTGTAGGAGTGAGTGGGTTGAATGTTGAATGCCAGGAGGCTGAGCCGTCGTGGGTGTATTTGGTTGTGTCGTCGATCGAGGGAGGAATGAGCGGCTGGGCGTTCCGGTCGGACCGGTCCGGGGAGGGAATCTTCTGGGAGTGGAGAATCTGGGTGGCCAAAGAGACCTGGTGACCCGTTGAATGGGAGAAGGACATTCGAGGAAGCTGTAAAGTTTGCGGGAGGGTGATACTTAAGTATGTCGAATTCAGGTAGAAATGTTCAAATAATCGGCCGTGGGCAAGCTTTGAAATTTGAACGTTGATCTTGATCTTAACCGTCACCACGAGCTCGTCGTCACCATCGCCCTTGGCGCTGCTCGTGCACTCGTCGGCCATTGCTTCAACTGGAGGAATTAGTACGATAAACGCAGGAATGCAGGCGTCTCACTCTTAAATCCGTGCTCGACGGCTGTCACATCGTGGAATTCAAGCGTATGTTAGGCAGGAGAGGTATACGACGACCGAGAAGGTAATCATGACAGTTGCTTCTATCGTGAGGCATCATTGAAACGTTTGTAGCAGTTTCCCAGCTGCCATGGCTCTCCCCTCAAAAGTTAGGACGATGGCTACCTACCCGGCTCGATTCGTGCAACACATGATGACGCTCCTCCTCTGCGCCACAGGCTACTTCACGTCACAGCAATTCATTCACGCATATAGAGGTGTTTGTCGTGAACAGTGAGTTCGCACAAAGTCGTCTGACGGGATATTGAGGGTACGTGGTATGTCTTCTTTTCTGCATGTCATGTAGTCGATTCGTCCTTCATTCAACGACGTTAGAGCAACGAACATAGGACAAAGAAGTCGACTTTGTGCTGTCTGCTTCGCGTTCGTGCCCCAGCACATTTGTACCATTTCAACCATACCCTTTTCATCCACATCACACACCACAACCCCCTTCGATGTGGGAACAGTTCAAGGACACCAACCGCTCTTTCATCAGTGTCCCGTTCCCCTCTCCTTCCACTCAGCATCGTGCTACATTCATGGACACAAGCTTTCCGAACAAAAAGTTCTGACATTGCTACTCTGCATGCATGACCAAATTTCGGGATTCACTTTGCCCCAACTTAGCTGCGCTCCCACCGCACCTTCACCCACAACGCACCAGCACACACCGCCTTCATTCATAGCGGTACCACACCCTCATGACCTCGCAGACTTCAAAGAGCTCGCTCGTCAGCTAGAAAGGAATATGCACTCCAAACTCGGCGTAACCTCCCCCTTGTGGTGTGAACGAAGGGAAACCACTGTGTGCGCCATTATAACGCTCCTCACGCCCGCCCTACGATCATGCCCGCCCAACATCCGCCGAGTGACAACGGCACGCCTAACACTGTCAGCTCAGCGTTTTCTGACTTACGCGAAAGGCTTTTGTTGATGAACCGCGCCCGGAAACAACACTGAGGGATAAAAGGCCTCCGAGACACTCCAGTCCACCAAAGCATCGAAATGCCAAAACGCATTCGATCGCCTGTTGCTCTCTCCAACCAAGATGCAACGACGGATCGATGAGTTCATCGCGGAAGGAGAGAAGATGAAGTGGTCGAGGGTGCCTGCTAATACGTGGGCAGCGGAACAGATGGTGTCGGACCTTCGGAAGGAGAGGCTTTTAGAGTTGCTGAAGGATCTCATTCAAAATTTGGAGGAGCAAGTGGGTTGTTGGAAAGATGAAGAAGGCGTATGAGCGTGAGATCTTGGAGTTGACGGGGGAATGGAGCCGCGAGTACAGAAATCTCGCGAGGGGGATGGAGAGGCTGGGGAAGCGAGTCTTGTTGAATGACCAGGAGAGAAGGTTGTGTGAGGAGGCTGCTCCGAGCAGGAGGAAAGTTGATGATGGTCGGGCTGTTGGCAGGGAGGTTGAGAGTGACGCGTAGGTGTCATGTCGATCATGTCATCCTCGACTTGTGTCGACTTCAACGACATCACCACCCTCCAGCGCCAATGCACGGATTAGCCGACCAAAGAGGACCCACCCCAGAGGGAGTTCGTTGGCGTTGAAGGGCCCTACTCATCCTAGCCTCTCACCCTTGTCGCCTATTCGAGAACTCGATACGGGCCCATACGTTGGGTTCTCTTTCAATCCCCTATTCTTCGGCCACACCGAGTCCACCTTGAGCGAGGCCAACGAAAAGAGAACGATGTCATGATAGCATGTACCCACCCCGATCAACATACCTTTTGATGGTTGTGCGGAGGGGTGTTTATACCAGGGGATTAGCGAATGCCAGATGCCACTTACGGAGAAGTTGGTTGAGGGGTGTGATGGAGTAGAACTGTCACCAGCTGAAGTACGAGCGCGGAGTGCTGAGGGGAGGAGGTGCTGAGGGTTAAGATTTTGGGAGGAGGTACTGCTGTTAGTTCGACGCACAAGCAATGTTGATCTCTATCACGACGATCTTGATTCTCGTCATTGTAAATCACGCATATAATGTCCTAGGAGTTCATTTCGTTGTTGAATCAAGTTTAAGCATACGTGACAACACTTAGACCTTCCGTTGCTGCTCTTCTCCGCTTGTATGCGCAACATTGCGACTACTTCAGTAGACCAACTCACCACAGCACTAGTGGCGGAGATTTCTACCTCAAATCAACATATCATCATCCCCACGAATCCACCAACATGCGCGCCGTTCGGCCATTCTCCTCCACCGCAAACTTCTGGCTTCCCCCATGCAACCGGGCCACCAGGTCTCTTTGGCCACCCAGATTCTCCACTCCCAGAAGACACCCCCCCGGACCGGAGAAAGCCTCACGCCTCAGCCGCTCAATCCTCCCTCAATCGACGACACAACCCAAATACATGACGCGCGACAGCTCAGCCTCCTGGAATTCAACATTCAACCCACTCACTCTCACCCTTCGGCTCCTCATCCTCCACTGCGCCGGTGACCTCCCTCTCCACACAACCCCCAAAACCACATTGACCACCCAACACCTCCCCAACGCGCACAAATTCAACACAAACATCTCCACGCGTCAGTCTTTCGGTCCTTCGAGCGTTCAACATGTCCCTTGCGACAGCGGATCCTCGATCTGGGGATAAACGTCGACTCTTCGGGTTTGCGATGCCTTGGTATGCCGTGAGGGGGAAGGTGAAGATGACGATGAGTGTGCCGTATGCATTTGAGCTGTGTATCGTGGTGTCAGGATCGTGGTAACGATACACTAGGCGAGGCTGCTCATACCTGGTAGGTTTCGAAATCTGACGAAGGGTAAAAAAAGCCATGTCACGGCAAAGAGGGTGGTGTGCATGTGAGCATCACGGAGGGGGGTCTAGGCTGTCGAGCGGTTGATTTGAGGGGAGGAAGTGGGCTACATGGGGTACGCAGTTCTGCCAGACAACTCGTGAATCCTCAGCTTGGATTCGGTCGGGTTGACTCCTTGAAAGGTCGCGAGAATAGCGAATGAGTGGACGTGTCATGGCGATGTTATCGGCAACGTCGTGGTGGTTGAAACCGAGAGTTTTGCTGTGGTGAAGAGTATCTGTAAGCGTCGTCTTCGCATATCCACCTCAACAGAGGAATTAACAACTCTCAGACGAGAACGTCCGAAAGAACCGACGCCGCATGCTGCCGACTCCACCGTTGGTCGTTCTCTCGCTCGTTTCGTCCGTCTATCCACCACCTCTCCATCAACTCCGGCGTTAGATACTCCAGCATGCCTCACGACGGTCTTCCGGCCAATGGCACCACTGCCCCACCACGCCCAGCTCAACAAACGCCGCATACACTTTGCTCCTCGATCGCATACCTCGCGTTTCAAATCCACGGGATGCACCTGCCCTGTCACAATGGACTTGCCCAACTTCTGCTCGTTCGTCCTCGTCATTCCTCCTCAAAATCATGAGAGCGGTGTTGGCGATACAGAGCCAGTGCAAACGATCTGAGTTCAACGTCACGGAGGGTCGTTGCTGATGCGATGTCGGCTGAGGAATCCATCATACACTCTTTCAATGAAGAGACATTTGAGTGCTTGCAAGATGTGAGGGTGAGCACCGAGTTTACAGCCGTTGGAGTTGATCCATTGAGGCAAGAGGTTGCCTGTAGTGAGGTTGATGGTCCACTGCAACAAAAATCAGTGTCGGCGAGTTTATTCGGAGAGGGGATGTGAAGGGCTTTGCGTACAACATCGGACTCTGGTGCTCTAACTGAAGTCGTCGCGTTAGTGTAGGCGTTGGAGATATTAGCCGGGACAGCGCCAGCGACCGCTGTGACGGATCGAGATGAGATACAACGTGCAAGCTATCAGTGCCAAAGTAGACGTACATCCTGGCTGAGCAATTCCCGTTAGATAAAGGAAACTATACTTTGTCAGTATTGACACTGACACGCGACGACATAGGACATACTTGTAAGATTCCAAAACAGTATCAACGCTTGTGTCATTAGCAGCCTGCAACAGTCCAAGGAGAGGGAAACCGATCTCATCCGGGTCCTACGAGAAAGTCAAATCCATATCAACATCCACTAGAAACAGGAAAGACGGAAGAGGCTACCTCCATGGTGATCCGGACTTGTGAAGCTGAGATCAAGGATTCCTGGATGACGAAAGTAACGGTGGTGGCGTTCTCGATGGCAGACTCATATTGGAGCTGGGCTTTGCTAAGAGAATTCTTGGAAATATAACCAAGACAGTCTCCTATGCTGTTTTTGACCTCGATAACTCCGCGTTTGGTTATGGTCTTTACGGCTTGAATGACAGGGACAGAGGAAGGCATCGAGCGGCGGACAAAATCTAGGAAGAGGACGGTGAGTCGTAGTGACTTCTCATAAAGAAAGAGAAGACGCACAAACTAAGCGTTCTGCACTCGAAAATCGGAATTAAAAGTGTGGGCGGTTGGTTTCGTGGCTTCGCTGTGCGATGAGGCATGTGAGCAACAGGTGCCGGTGAGCAATTGTCTGGCGCCAAGGCGTTCAACGCAATGACCTGCGATCCAAACAAAAGTAAACACGTGTTTCCTCCACCACGCCGCGGAAAAATTGAAAATGACGCTGTTTCGTCTGCAGAGAAGCATGACTGAAAAGCCGTGAAAGAAAGTAGATTACTTTCCGGACCCGCTCTTATGCGAAGCCCTCAAGTCTCTCGTGTTTTCGTCGTTTGTCGCTTCCTGATAGCTCGAAGACCTGCTGACCCAAGTCGATGCTGAACTAGTTTTCAGATTCTATGGCGCCAATTTTTCATTACTGGGGCGTACACAAAAGGGATGCGCCGCTGAGCCTCCGCAACTCTGATAGGAGACGCTGAGAGGATCTGATACG